CAGGGGACCCAAAACCCTCTTCTGGCCTCTGTGAGCACTTGCATGCATGTGGTGTACACACATACACATATGCAAAACGTTTATACACAAAAATAATTTAAAAAAGAAAAGCAGCTGCTGCAAAACCATTCTAGACTTTGAGTTGTGCCTAAAAGTCTCTCTCTCTCAAAAACAATGCTTTTATAGACTACCAAGTAACAGGGTTTCACTGTTTGGGTCTGACTGGCCTGTGACTCATGAGCTCCATCTCCATGTCTCCTGAGTGCCAGGATTAAAGGCATGCACCACCATGCCCAGCTAGAGAATCTTTTAAAGCTGCATTTTCTTAGAAATTCTTAGTAACTAAGAGGGTGGGGGTAGTGCATGCCTTTAACCCCAGCACTTGGCAGATCGCTGTGAGTTTGTAGCCTGCCTGGTCGAAGTATCACATTCCAGTGCAGCCAGGGCTGTACTGTGAGACACTGTCTCAAAACCTAAAGTAACATGGAGAAAATAACTTTAAAAGGGTTTTGGGTGGCCAGAGAGATGGCTCGGTGGTTAAGAGCACTTGCTGCTCTTCCAAAGGACCTGACTTCAGCTCCTAACACACATGTAAGGAAGCTCACAACCATCTGTAACTCCAGTTCCAGGGGATTTGACACCTCTGGTTTCTGAGAATATCTACACTCTCATGCCTACGTCCATATCAGATACACACACCTGCATATAATTAAACACACAAATACATAAAAAACAAACAAACATAACAACAACAAAAAACAACAAAACAAAACACCCAATCTTGAGCTAGTGAAATGGATTCAAGGGTAAAAGCAATTGCTGCATGAGCCCGGTGACCTTGAGTTGTTCCAGAAACCAACCTTGAGTTCCAGAAACCATATAAAGGTTGAAGGTGAGAACTGACTCTACAAAGTTGTCCTCTGACCTCCAAATATGTCATTACACACAGGCACGCACACACGCACATGCGCAATTTTTGATAGGGTTGGGTGGTAGAGATGGCTCAGTGGTTTAGAGAACCTGTCCCTCTTGTATAGCACTCTTGTATAGGTTCAATTCCCAGCACCGACGTGGTGACTTAACAGCCATCCCAAAGGCTCCAACACCCTCTTCTGGCCTCTGAGGGCACCAGGCACACAACTGTTATACATGTATTCATGCAGGCAGAATACTCATAGATGTGAAATAAATAAATCTTTTTTTTTTCTTCCGGTTTTTCGAGACAGGGTTTCTCTGTGTAGCTTTGCGCCTTTCCTGGAACTCGCTTTGTAGACCAGGCTGGCCTCGAACTCAGAGAGATCCACCTGGCTCTGCCTCCCGAGTGCTGGGATTAAAGGCGTGCACCACCACTGCCCGGCGTGAAATAAATAAATCTTAAGAGAAAAATTTTAAAAACATTTTTTGAGGAGTAGCTACATGGGAAAAAAAAGAAAAATGTTCAAAACTAAAATAATTATCTATTAATGTGTTCTTAACTATTTCAATTCAATATATAATTCCTTTAAAAAGGGAAGCCCAGATGATATTACTAAAATGTGCTATTGTGTGCACTGTTGGTAACGACTGAAAAGCATGAAGAAACAGTATCACAAATGTCAGAGACGCAAGCATTTAAAATAAACTGCAATGCCAGTGGCTCCCTTGGGTAAGTAAGGCCAGCACTCAGCAGGTTCAGTTAGAGAAGGAAGGTCAGGACTTCTCCTGGCTCCAGAGTCTCCAGATGAACCACCGGAGACACGGGGAAGCTCACCAGTGCAATCTGCTGCTTGATGCGCTCTCGAGCCGCTCTGTCCTCTGCCTTTTCTCGGCTTCTTTCCTCTAACATTCTTTTTGTTAACTCCTCTTCTTGTTTTCTTTTATAATCCAACATTTCCTTTCCAGTTTTTCTCCTTTCAATTTCCTTCTTAATCTCTCTCTGAATCAAAGAAAAGAACTATGAACCAAAGCCATAATCCAGTCTTCTGTCCCAGATCATATCCTGATGTAAGGAAAGCTAATCACAGAACGTAGTTCAAGAACTTCATGAGATGTCTGCTGTGAGGTGCTCAGTGAGTCAAAGGACCTGCCATCAACGTTTACACTATGGACTCACACAATGGGAAGAAAAAACGGACTGCTGTTAAGTTGTCTGCTGATCTCCACATGTTTGCATGTGCACCCGTGCACACACACACTAAACAAATGAATGAATGAATGAATGAATGAATAAATGTCATTTTTTAAAAAGGAGCTGAAGAAGCCAGGTGGTGGTGGCCTTTAATCCCAGTACTTGGGAGGCAGAGGCAGGTGGATCTCTGTGAGTTCCAGATCAGCCTGGTCTACAGAATGAGTTCCAGGACAGTCAGGACTACACAGAGAAACCCTGTTTTAAAAAACAAAAACAAACAAACAAACAAAAAAAAGAGTACAATGTCCTCAGTGTAATCTATATCCAAGCAGAATTGTAAAGTCTTTAGTTTCTACAGCATATGTGTTATCCTTCATGGACAACATGGATCAATTATTTGTCTTGAAAAAAAGATAATCTATATGAGACCCCAAAGAGATGAGGCACAATTATTGTCAGAAAGATGAGGAGTACACCAAAATGCAGCATTAGATACAAAATTCAGGAGGATGTCTACAAATTTGACTTTCCTCAAATCTATCAATTTTAGATCAACTTCCTTTAGCTAATTAGTACAAAAGGATCAATTCACAGAGGAAAGAAAAAGATTAGTCAATTATTCTTGGTAATTTACAAAAAGAAAATAAACAGGTAGGCAACCCTAAGATTTCTGGTCCAGCAGGGACTGCATGGCAATCATGACAAACAGACAAACAATAACCAACATCCTAAAGTGTATACAGTATAACCTGAGTGCAGAGAACACATAATTTCCTTCCCCACAGGACAACACTGAGCTCTAAGGATGTCACCGTAGGTCTGATAAACTGGACAACACATCAGAAATTCCCTCAACTAACAGAGAGTGAACGGATGCTAAGTGTGAGCCCTACCTGTTCTTCTTCCTTCCTTTTCTCTTCTCTCCTTTCTTCAAGTTTTTTTGTGAGTCTGTTTAAAGAACAAAGCACCAAGATGCATTCTATTATTCAAACACAACTAAGAATTTTATTGGGGCCGGCAGCAGGGGTGGGGTGCACAGCTTTCCCATCAGCACTTAGGAAGCAGAGGCTAGCTAGGAGAACACAATCAGCTGTCTCCAAAAGGATTTAGTTAGCTAAAACAAAGGGAAATATGGAAACCAAAACAGAACTCTCTGAAAGTACAACACAGTTTATCTGCACATCTCCTGTTCCCCACAGAGATCTAGGACCCCACAGGAGTCGTCAGAAGCCTGTTTCCAACCCTGTTTTAGACTAGATTTACTATTAGAGTTCTCACTTTTTCATGGTTTATCGGATTCATAGTGCTTGAAAAATATATAAATCTAAGCTGAAGAGATGGCTTAGCAGTTAAAAGCTTCTACTGTTCTTGCACTGGACCAAAGTTCGATTCCCACAGCCCACTTCTTGAAGTTCACAATTGCCTGTATTCACAGCTACAAGTCGTGAATTTGAACGTTTATTTATTTATTTATTTCTGTCGTTCTTCTGTTCTGCAGAGCTGAGGATTGAACCCGGGACCTTATGTCTACTAAGTATTCTAACATTGAGCCAGACTCCATTGTCTTTTTGTTTTGTTTTCTTTTTTGAGACAGGGTCTCTCTGTGTAGCCCTGGCTGTCCTGGAACTCACTCTGTAGACCAGGCTGGCCTCTAACTCACAAGATTCGCTTGCCTCTGCCTCCTGAGTGCTGGAATTAAGGGGACAATTAAAGGGGTAAATTTAATTTAAATTAAGTTCATTTCCTTTAATTAAAGGAAACTAAAAAAGCATTTTTAATTTCCACATAATATTAAAGGTTTTTATGTTGAGATTAGAAATATTAGCCATTTACTCACACTTTTTAATTACCACATAACAGATAAATTCAGTTACTGCATTTTTTTTAAAGATTTATTTATTTATAATGTATACAATGTTCTGCCTGCGTGTACACCTGCAGGCCAGAAGAGGGTACCAGATCTCATTTTAGATAAGCCCTAAACTAGAAACTACAATAAGTCAGAGACCTTTACTATTAGTTCAACCAATAAAAAAATGACATTTAGGGGGCTGGAGAGATGGCTCAGAGATTAAGAGCACTGGTTGCTCTTCCAGAGGTCCTGAGTTCAATTCCTAGCAACCACATGGTGGCTCACAACCGTCTGTAATGAGATCTGGTGCCCTCTTCTGGCATGTAGGAACACATGCCGGCACAACACCATATGTATAATAAATAAATCTTAAAAACAAAAGAAAATAAACAAACAAACAAAAAAACCTAGGAAGAAAAGACCTTAGAAATGACATTTAGTAGTTATTCAGAACCCCAGCTGAGTGCATATGCATAATATGAGCTGCATTTTTGTTCATCTGGAGCTTATTTTTCTTCTGATATAAAGAGATAAAAGCAAAAGTGACAGATGGACACACATGCATGTACCAAAAGGACTCTTAGAACAAAACGTTCAGATCTACAGTTGACTGACAACTTCAAAGATACAGAAAAGCTGTACCCTAGTTTTAATTATCATGGAATAGTTAAATTATTGAGGCAATCAAAAATTTAAAACTGCAATTCTGAATCTTCATTTGCATTATATTTAGGTTTCGTTCATGTTAACAAAATAACTAGAAACTAATTTTTTTTTTTAAACAAAATGCTTTCTACAAAAGTAAAAGCAAACCTTTCCACTCTAACGGTGAGATCCTCTGCTGGTCTCTGGTTTGAACATCCATGAGGTTCTTGGGAGGGGTTGTCACAACCTGAGCATTCTCCTCCTTAATTATTAAAAGAAAACAAAGTAAGAATATTGCACATAATGCAACTTGTAAAAGGTATAAACCATCTGTTAGCCTTGTCTCTGGAATACTAGGATGACAGAAATGCACCACTGTGCCTGATGGAATGCCAGACAAGCACTCCACCAGCTAAGCTAAGCCCTCAGCTCGGTTTGGGTTTATCAGGGTGTAACTGCATTTGAAAGGCTTGATACTGTCTGTCTGGGATGCTATAGTGAGACCACCCCACGCCCTTAAATGTGAAGTGAAGGAATACTCTTCCTGTACCTGCTGTAGTATCTGACTTTGTGTCGGAAGCAGCTGTTGTCTTCTTACAAAGCTCTGTGTGTCTGGACTCAGTATTTTCACATACGGCATTAGGCTCAAATGAGGCAGATGGGGTAGATACTGAACTTTCTGACTGGTTGTCATCTGTCACCGATGTTTCACCTTTTGATGAGTGCATCTCGGGAGAAAAGAAATTGGAACTTAATGGGACACTCCATAGCCATTTAATGGTAGATGAATTATGAACACACATACACACCCAGAGTAGAAATACTAAACCCTCAGTAAAGACAAACAATTCAATTACAAGCTGGCCAGAGCATAATTTTCCTTCTTCAGTCCTGGGGGATGAGCTCTATCTCCAGCCCATAAAAGGTTTTAAAGCAGAGGGACCGTCTGGCCAGGGGAGGGACTCAAGACACTTGCAAAGGCAAGGCAGACCTTCTGATGGACAACACCACACTCCGGACTTGAGAGCTCACTCCTCTCAAGGGTCCCATCATTGCAGGTGTTGACAACGCTGCTCCTCTGAGAAATGGGCCACTGGCTGGGGTAATACTGCTTTGTCAAGCTACAGGAATCAGAGGCAGTTCTGTGCTACCTTCAGAGAATACCTATTGCTAAAAACTGAGCTATTCCAGGGCCTGAGATCAGAGAACATACACAGGGTGGGAAGCATCAACTGGCCTGCCACAGCCCTTGAGTGACAAAGTCCAGACAGCTGTGGGGAGCAGGAGGGAAGGACTCCATGAGCTGAAGAGTGCAGGTGGGAGGAAACTGGCTTGGGCTAGGGAAAATGCTAAGAGATATCCCTGCACACTCAGAGGCCAAAACCTGGAGCTTGATAGCTCTGAACTTGAGGCCAGTGTGGGACTCCAATTCCGGAGTCACTCTTCCTCTCTTCACTGCTGCATCTGAGAACTAAGGTTCGAGGAGTGTACTTGATACTCACTCACATAGGCACGCCTCCCTCTAGAAGGGCGACTGACACTCAGAAGCCCTGAGACACACAGGCAGGTCTTCACCTGTACCAACCTCAAGAAAACCACCTGTTGTTTCCTACACTCAAATAAATAACTAAATGAAAAAAATAGCCTTGCACCCCAAAGTTCCAAAAAATATGAACAATCCAAATCTTGAAGCAGTAGATAGCAAGAAATAATAATGATGAAATTAATGGCCGGGCATGATGGTGCACGCCTTTAATCCCAGCACTCGGGAGGCAGAGGTAACTGGATCTCTGTGAGTTTGAGGCCAGCCTGGTCTACAAAGTTAGTCTTGGACAGTCACATAGAGAAATCCTGTCTTGAAAAACAAAACAAAACAAGACAAAAATTAGTAATATTTAATGAGAAGGGGGAGGTTACTACTAGCGTAATGAAATAAAAAAAAAGAGACATTTCAAAAAACTAGAAAATCTCTGAGGCTGGAGAGATGGCTCCTAAGTTAACTGCTCTTGTAGAGGATTTGGGTCACTTACATCAGATGGTCACAACCACCTACAAATTAGCTCCAAGGGATCCAATGCCCTCTGACCACCTTGAACACCTGAATGCATGTGGTGCACATACATACAATCAGCCATATACACACACAAGCAAAATAAAATATATGTATTTTTAAAACTGGAAGATCACCAGGCATGGTGATGCATGCCTTTGATTCCAGCACTTAGGAGGCAGAGGCAGGTGGATCTTTGAGTTTGAGATCGGCCTGGTCTACAAAGTGAGTTCTAGGTCAGCCAGGGCTACACAGAGAAATCCTGTCTTGAAAAACCAAAATAAATAAATAAATGAATAAAATAAATATAAATAAATAAAACTGAAAAATCTAGACAAAATGGGAATTTCCCTGGACACCTATAATCTAGCAAAAATTAAATCAAGAAGATATAAACAATTTAAACAGATCCATAACAATTAATGAAATGAGGCCAGAATTTAAAAAAAATCTACCGGGCCATGGTGGCAGACACCTTTAATTCCAGCACTCCGGAGGCAGAGTTTGAGGCCAGCCTGGGCTACATAGTGAGTTCCAGGACTGGCTCCAAAGCTACACAAAGAAACTCTATCTTGAAAACCAAAACAAAACCAAAACAAACAAACAAACTTCCAAAGGGCTACTGTGGATTAAAAACAAAAACAAAAGTTTTTTTTCTTTTGGTTTTTCGAGACAGGGTTTCTCTGTGTAGTTTTGCACCTTTCCTGGAACTTACTTTGTAGACCAGGCTGGCCTCAAACTCACAGAGATCTGCCTGGCTCTGCCTCCCGAGTGCTGAGATTAAAGGTGTGCACCACCACCGCCCGGCAAAAAACAAAATCTTAAAAAAACAAAAAATAAAAACCAAAAAAGTAACCAACCAACCAACCAACCAACAACAAAGAAAAATCTGGGAGGGTGGGGGCACACCTTTAATCCCACCCAGCACATGGGAGGCAGAGGAAGCTAGCTGGGTTTCTGTGAGTGTGAGGTCAGTCTGGGCTACAGAGCTAGTTCCACAACAGCCAGGGCTATACAGAGAAACCTTGTCTTGAAACCTCCCACTCCCTACAAAAAGTTGATTCCTTCTTACTTGCTGGACTTTGTGAATTCTTGTAACAAGTTCATCTGCAGAAACACTCCCTGCTATTACTTCCAAAGGGATTCCGCTGTCTCCTATAAAGAAACTGGATGGAACACAGACTACAGGATCTGTACACGTTAATTAAGTCTAATAGTTCATGTGTGAAACAAGAAGTCTTATAAAATACAATAACATAGCAAAACACATCATCTTAGTGGATTTTACAATGTTCCTCACCCCAATTACCATATCATGCCTCTAGTGCATGTGATATGTAAAATGATATACGGTTTGTTTGGCATATTGGAGTGAAAATGTATTTCATTTTCCTACATCATTTTATCTAATTTGCCTCTTGCCACCTGCTTTTAACATTTCAACCAAATTACTCCATACTGCTCTTCAGATATTCACATTAAAAAAGAAAACATTGGTTTAGCATCCATACAGCAGCTCACAACTGTCTGTAACTCCAGTTCCAGGGGACCCAATATCCTCACACAGATATACATGCAGGCAAAACACCAATGCACAGAAAATTTTTTTTTAAAAAATTAATTAATTAAAAAAAATACAAAACAAAACAACAACAACAACCAGGATGATCCTGCAATTCTGCAAGGCCATTAAAAACAAAAAAACAAAAAAACAACCCACCAAAAACATAAACATTGGGGACTAAAGAGAAGGCTCAGAGCACTTAACTGGTTTTCCAGAGGACCCAGGTTCAATTCCCAGCACCCACGTGGCAGCTCATGGTTGTCTCAAACTAAAGTTCCAGGGGACCTGACACCCTCACCCGGGGAGACATACATGCAGGCAAAACTTCAATGCACATAAAGTAAAAATAATTAAAAAAAAAAAAAAAAAAAGAAAGAAAAACATCTACTTTGCCATTAGCTACAATGTATTACCTCAAAAGACTGCAACATTACTTCTACCAAAAGATGTTTTCTTAAATAAAACTAAATTCTAAATTTTTTAATTAAAAAAAGAAAAGCAAATATAATATATATGAAAGCAATTCTTCAATGAAAGGATACAAATCTGTGAAAATTGCAGACAGGCTTCACTGTAAAAAAACAAAATCAAGAGAAAAATCATAATATGAATTCAACTATTTTCTAAATACTGGGTTGCTTTCATTAAATTTACTATACTAATCACAAGTATATTTTAAAAATTACTAGTTGTCATAGCAATAAGCTAGAAGGACAGAAATAAGAATTTTATTTAATTTTATTTATTTATTTTTAGTTTTTCGAGACAGGGTTTCTCTGTGTAGCTTTGTGCCTTTCCTGGAGCTCACTTGGTAGCCCAGGCTGGCCTCGAACTCACAGAGATCTACCTGCCTCTGCCTCCCGAGTGCTGGGATTAAAGGTGTGCGCCACCACAGCCTGGCAAAAATTTTATTTCACAAGACATTTTTTGTTCATTTTAATTGTTGTTTCATAATTTCCAGATTAAACAATCCTTTCTTCTTATAACCCACAAAGTGGTGGCTGGGTTTACAAGTTAAAAATGTCTGTCTTGCTGGGTGGAGGCAGAAGTGGGAGGATTTTTATGAGTTCAATGTCAGTCTGGTCTATTCAGTGAGTTCTAGGACAGCCAGAGCTACATAGTGAGACCCATGGGGGGGGGAGGGGACACACAAAACAAAAAGAATATCTCGTGTTGCTTCCTTAATAGAAATATACTTAAATAAAATCTTGGGGGCTGGAGAAATGGCTCAGTGGTTAAGAGCACAAGCAGCTCTTCCAAAGGACCCTGTTTGACTTCCAGCACCCACATGGTGGTTCACAATCATCTCTAACTCCAGTTCCAGGGGATCCAACGCCCTTTTCCTTGGGCACTGTACGAACATGATGCAGACATACATGGAAATACTCATATAATGCACATAAATCTTTAAAAAACCTTAGCCTTTCATAAGATACGGTGACATAACATACTACTTTGTGATAACAAGGATGAAAATACCTAAATGTCCATTAAGAACCGGTCTAAGAGAATTAATGGGGAAAAGGTATAAAAAGTTGTCAAATACCATCATTTCTACAAAAAGTCAGAGGGCCACTAAGATGGTTCACTGGGTAAGGCAGCTGCGGGGCAAGCTGAACAATCTGAGTTAAATCTCCAGACCATACAGGAAGACGGAGGAGAACCAACTCTACCAAGGTATCCACATGCGTGCTATTACACGTGTGTTCCTTACCCTATGATAATAATAAAAAAATTTAAAATTGGAAAATATATATATTTTTTTTTAATTCTTTTTTTTTT